TGATAAGCCCTCCCTCACATACTCAATTGTTTTCTCAAATTCAACCTGTCCAAAGCTGACATCATTGTCAGCTCCAGACATTGTCAGCTCTGGTCATTTCTTTCTGAAAAAAATCAGCTTCTCTTTATGTTTTCCTTTCTCATTGCTAAGTAACTCCATGATCCACTAAGTCACCAGCCACAAGTTTGGATGGTTTTTTTTTTTGTTTTTTTTTTACCTCCTTGAATATTTCCAGAACTGCACTGATGCATACAGTAGCTACTAGCCACATACAGCTATTTAGGTTTGAGTTTAAATAAATTAAAATACAATACAATTAAAAATTCAGTTCCTTGGGTACACTAGGCACATTGCAAGTGCTTACAGCCGTGTGTGACACCAGGCTACCGTAGCAGACAGCGCCGCTCTAGAACATTTCCGTCCATACAGGGAGTTCTGTTGGATGGAGCTGGTCTAGAGTGTATCTTGCCGTCCTTATTCCCACTTCGCTGACTGTATCTGAGCACTAATAATTTCCCACCTGAACCACCAGTAGAGCTCTTGGCTCACCAACTTTTTCTTCCTTACTTTAGTCTGTTTTCTCCTCTAATCAAATGATTTTTACAAAACCTTTGAAGAAATAACAGAGAGAAACAACTGTGGCCTTTTAATGTCATTTCCTTACTTGAAACTTCCAGAGTCTCCCCCATTATCTTTTCCTCTTTATTTGCTTGTTGAACAGCTCAGCCTTCAAGATTGAGTTCCAGTGTTGCCTGCTCTAGGAAGGCAGAGGCCAGCCAGGATTCTTCTTCTGCACTTAGACACTCCTTGTTGGTACCCCTCTTTCAGAGCGTGTTTCCCATTGTAATGTTTACCAGCCATGCAGTAGCTTCAGGAGAAGTGAAAAAATGGCCTTTCAGGTCATGTTCTGGTGTTGAGGAACCCCAGTTGAGACAGGCTGTGAAGGGTGGTGAATGATGTTCCCACAAGTATCAGTCCCTGCCTCAGGTTACCCTTGGTTCTTGGCTATCTCTCGACTCCAAAATATATATTCTGTAGAGAGAAACAGAGTTCCTTCAATAAAAATAGCTGTGTGCAGTGGCATGCCCCTATAGTCCCAGTTACTTGGGAGGCTAAAGCGGGAAGATCCCTTGAGCCCAGGAGATTGAGGCCAGCTTGGGCAACATAGTGAGACCCTGTCTCAAAAAAATAAATCTTCAGTGAAGGAGGAATATTTTAATTACCACAAACTTTCATAGTTCTGGAGTCTAGGAGTCCAAACTCAAGGTGTTGGCAGAGCCACACTCCCTCAAAGGGCTTTGAAAGAGAATCCATCCTTGCCTCTTCCAGCTTCTGATAGCTCTTGGTGCTCTTTGACTTGTGTCCAATCTCTGCCTTCATCTTCACAGGGCCTTCTTCCCTTTGTCTCTATGTCTGTGTCGTAAATATCCCTTCCTTTCTTCTTGAAAGAACACCAGTCATTGCACATAGGGCCCGCCCTAAATCAGATTATCTTGGCTTGAGATCATTCATTCAGTTATATCTACAAAGACCCTATTTTGAGATGAGGTCACATTCATGGGTACTGGGGATTCAAATTTGGACATATCTTTTGAGGGAGACATAATCCAATCCACTGCAATGGGTGAGAATAAAAGTGAGAACTCTGTTAACTATGTTTCTGCCTCTTTCCCAAGCCATGCCTAAGCTGACTCAGCATATTGACTTTAGCCTTTGTTTCTTGCATGTATTCCTATACATTAAGATTCTCACTCGCCGGGCGCGGTGGCTCACGCCTGTAATCCCTGCACTTTGGGAGGCCGAGACGGGCGGATCACGAGGTCAGGAGATCAAGACCATCCTGGCTAACACGGTGAAACCCCGTCTCTACTAAAAAAAAAATACAAAAAATTAGCCGGGCGCGGTGGCGGGTGCCTGTAGTCCCAGCTACTCGGGAGGCTGAGACAGGAAATGGCGCGAACCCGGGAGGCGGAGCTTGCAGTGAGCCGAGATCGCGCCACTGCACTCCAGCCTGGGCGACAGAGTGAAGACTCCGCCTCAAAAAAAAAAAAAAAAAGATTCTCACTCGTAAATCAAAAGAAGGGGGAGGAGGCCACTTAACCAGCTGTCTTTCTTTCCCTGACAGGCACACTGCACTCCCTTCAGCTGGATTTGTTTCCACTGGCTAGCAATTATCATTAAATAATAAAGCATAGCCCAAAATAAACATGTTCATCATCTTTAGTTTTCAGAGACATTCTCTGGGTCCAAATCTTTTAAAGTGAACGTAGATATTTAGATTTAGAAATTATTTTAAGCACATGTGTGCACATATACAGCAAGGAAAATGACTAGAAGTAATTGCCTCTGTAAAGTAAGAAACAACATGAGCACTTTGACTGTTTTTATGTTTTAGTGTTATCTACATTTTGCACAGTGAGCATGTTTTACTTTTGTGATTAGAAGAAGAAATGTTTTTAAAGCATGGATAGTTTTAATAAAGTCTTTATAAATTGCCCAGGCATTTTTTTTTCTGTATTTTTTAAAGGAGATTAAAAAAAAAAAAAAAAGAAAAGCAAGATGAGTAGGCCAGTAGGGATTCTAAGAACAGACCACTGATGGTCTTCAGTGCAATTCAGACACCATTTAGGTTTTGGAGTGGTGTTAACATTGTTAATTATTCAGGACCTTATCAGATTCATCAGCAGTAAAAACTGAAATTCAGGGTCTCTACTGGGAGGTTTCCCCCAGTCCCTGGGGGAATGAATGAGCCGTCTCTCTTTGCACATTTTTTCTTTGTGGCATAATGAGGTATCCACCCCCATACCCATTTTTGGTTTGTCAGGGACCATTTCAGAATGAGTCCTGTAATCCTTCATCAGCAGTACCATTTGGCTTCTACAGGGATGTATTTTCCTATTGTTTAGGCTATTTTGAGTGTAGCCCTGCGTCTGGTCTGTTTTGAGGACAGCACACATTTCCATCGATCCTCCGTTACTGGAACCCGTGGCAGAGCATTAGGCCCTTTTGAGCTGTTCTACTATTGAATGCAATTTGCTTTGAGGGAATTTTCCTATTTTAGCTTCTAATATGTTGATGAATTATTGAAATTTCAATTACTTTTGCTTCCCAAGTTAGCAGGATGGAGACATCCCAGACATTTAATATGAAAAGCTTTCCAGTGCCTTTTAGAGAAGGGGCCACATGCCTGTTCTCTGCCCTTGTCTAGAAGGCTTTTGGCGGCAGGGCTGGCACCAGGGCATGGCTCCACTCTTCCTGTCTATGGGGTTAAAGTGCTTTGTGGCCTTGGAAGTCCCTTAGGTCAGTGCTGCTCAAGGTATGGTCCCCTGACCGGCAGCATCAGCATCTTTTGGGAGCTTATTAGACTTGCAGATCTTGGGCTTCATCCAGACCCTGCTAAATCAGAATTCCTGGGGTGGGGCCCTGGAGTCTGTTTTAACAAGCCCTCTGGAGGATTCTAGTACACTATTTTGTTGAGAAAGCCCTGTCTTAAATTTGTTAGTGCTAACTCTTCCCAGCCCGGCAAAGTCTGGTGCCCATTTGTAAGGACCGCTGGGTGCTGTAGTTAGTTTGCCCTTTCAGGTGGACACTGTACTCTCATGCTGAAACTGTGACCAAGGTTATAAAAGACCAATCTCTAGCAACGCTCTTCAGCTCCTTGGAATACTTCTCTCTTTGGAAGTCACAGAGTTGTAACTATAGAGAAGCAGGATTTGGACGTTCAATTTCTGTGCAGTTAAATGTGCATTTTAAATGTAACTTAGAGGGCCCCATGTTTCTTTTTTTGTATAGAAGGACTATTTAGACATTTCTACCTACTATCCCAGGGAAAATCCATCTGTAGGTAACTTGGGGAAAGGTGCTGGCTCCATCAGTGTCTCTTCTCTTAGCCTAATCTTTTCCCCAATGCAGACACCTCTTCTAAACCACACATATTGAATAACTTGCACCTCTTCAAACATAGCATGTCTTCCCAGCACCTGTGCACCCCCCCACTATCACCCCCCAAGCATATCATCACGAAAGCCATATCCTCACTTGTTCTCCTTTAAGATTGCTCAAGTACCACTGTCTTCGTTCAGCTTTGTCTGGATGACTTCAGCTGGAGTTACATTCTTCCCTTTTTCTGCTTCCCATAACACTTGAGATAGAAATTTATAACACTCAAGTGCACTTGTGTTGAAATCATTCCTCTCTCCTCTGGGCTCTGAGATGATGATTCCATGAGAGGTGATTTCATCCTGGGTCCTCTGTCTGCAGTCCCCAGCACAGTCAGGCACTTGGGGCTAAAAGAATAAACATTCCTTAAAGGTAGTTAGCCAGTGCCTGGGCGCAGTGGCTCATGCCGGTAATCCCAGCACTTTGGGAGGCTGAGGTGGTAGAATTGCTTGAGCACAGGAGTTCAAGACCAGCCCTGGCAACATAGCGAGACTCTGTCTTTACAAAGAAATTTAAAAATCAGCCAGGTGCGTTGTGTGCACCTAGTCCCAGCTGCTCAGGAAGCTGAGGCAGGAGGATCCCTTGAGCCCGGGAGATTAAGGCTGCAGTGAGCCATGGTTGCACCACTGCATTCCAGCCTGGGCAACAGAGCAAGACCCTGTCTCAAAAAAAAAAAAAAAAAACAAGATGGTCATCCATCCTGGAAGCTTCCAGTGCCTTATATAATATGTGCACCTCATACTTGTGAAGAATAGATGATGGTCTGTGGCAGATTGAGTTAAGAATTTATTGACTCTTGGGCAATTATAAAAACTAGTAATATCATCACTTTGGTTTGTAACTCTACTTTTTGTATTACGTGTGATTTAAGAAACTGATTCGTTTTAAAAAATTATTAGTCCAAAAAAAAGAATATAGTGACTTTTATGTGAACTCAACCATCCTAGCTTTTCAATGGGCTGATCCCTCAATGTAAATGAAAGCCGCACCACCTACCCATCTGGCTGTTTTGCTCTTTAGCCAGGGAAACCACCAACTATGTCTAAGCATTATGATTGCAGGTCAGAGAGCTTCAAACTCGACTACAGAGCGTGCAGGCCACAGGTCCCTCCAGCCCTGGCCGCCTCACTTCCACCAACCGCCCAATTAACCCCAGCACTGGAGAGCTGAGCACGAGCAGCAGCAGCAATGACATTCCCATTGCCAAGGTGAGTTCCTGGGGATGGACCTGATGAGCGGGAACACCTCCTGTTATCTGGAAGCACCAGGCTCATCCTAGCCACTGTACAGGCATGCCCTTAGCTGAGACAGCCCAAGGGGCTTCCCCTGAGACCTTACACAGGCCTTCTATGCAGGAGCTGTAAGGAGAGATAACCCACTAATAGTTTTAAGTCTCTCTCAGCTGCAACCTGGACGCCAGCTCTCATTAATCAGCCAGCTGGAGAATGTCACAGCTGACAAGTCATTATGGAGAGTGAGACGTTTTGTCAAGTGCTCCAGTACTTCACAGTGGACAGAGTTGCTCTCAAAGACTAAGGTTCAGCCCAGTGGGGGACCTTGAGTAATGAACCAATGATCTCCCCACTCACAAGACTGACAGCTCTGCCAGAAAAAAAGAAAAATAGATTATGATGGACAGGCTGTGGCAGCTGTGAGAAGTAGCCCCACTCATTCGCTGGCACAGCCCCCCAGTACGTATGTTGAGTCTGTCTCAGATGATGAAAATTATGCCTGTTGGCTTGCCTGGTAGCTCTACTAGCCACCACAGTAAGGTTGATTCTTAACTATCAAGTTTAATAAGTTAGGTTAAACCAGTGTTTTCTAACCAGAAGTGAGCTCTTCCTCCAGGGGACATTTGGCAATGTCTAGAGACATTTTTGATGGTCACAATTGGAGTGCTACTGGCATCTTGTGGCTAGAGGCCAGAGATGCTGCTAAATATCCTACAATGCACAGGACAGATCCCCACAAAAAGAATTATCCAAGCCAAAATATCAGCAGTGCTGAAGTTGAAAGGCCCTGGCTTAAGCTGGTGGTAGAAAAATTGGACAAATGAGCTGTTCTTAACAAGTTCTTTAATCATTTAGTTGACATGGCTAAACAGCCCTGTATAAACAGTCCCAACAGTTTATCTGGGGAGTGGTGTGTAGTTTTCTATAATGCTTTGTTTTCTTTTTTAAGATTGCTGAGAGGGTGAAGCTATCAAAGACAAGGTCTGAATCATCATCATCTGATCGGCCAGTCCTGGGCTCAGAAATCAGTAGCATAGGGGTGAGTGTTCACGAGAAGCAAGGCAAGAAAGTACCCGGTAGAGCTACACAGACAATTGATTATAGATGACAGAATAACTTCCCAAGTCTATGTCCAATAAACCAGTTACAATAGTAAATCACACCCGATTTCCTTCCAAAGGATTAAATTACAATGTATGATGATTTCCATCCATATAGTGAATTACTTCTTCAGCTTAAGGGGAGATTTTTTTTCCTTTCCTTGAAACCATTCAGAATGAAATGATTTAGGTCCAGTTCTTGGTGATATAGATGAAAGTCTTGAAGTATCTGTCTTATATCACCCTGCTACCCCAGAGACGAAGAGCTCTAAAAGAACTCTGCCTTTTGCACATCCATCTTGAAAGGGGATGTGCTCTCTACTGAGGAGGAATGTTGTCTTTGAAGCCTAACCCAGTGGTAGGAAAGACCAGAACCTTCAGTTTAGTCCCAGAGTTTTCATTTGTGAAGTCAGGCAACCCCCTGGGACTGTAAGAGCTGATGGATGGTGAAAAGGATTAGTTTCATTTCTTCAAGGGATCTTTTAGGATTGGGGATGAGGATGAGAGAGCCAGCTATTTGATCCTCAGAGACAGAGCCTTAAAATAGCATTTTAAGGCCCTAATTTAGAATTTTACACTGAGCAAAAATTGCGTGTATTCAGATTCCATGCCAAAGCCAAAATGTGAAAATGAAGGAGTCAGCCCCTCTCCTGGGCTACAGAAACCAAAAACAGTGACCTGGAGTAGCAGGGAATTCAGGATAGGGGAAAGAAATCTTGATTCTGTTCAACATTCAGAATTTTAGGAACTCCAGGAAGGCATGATCTCCCCATCCTGGCTGCCCAGCGCCACGTGCTTGGGGAGGGAGTCATATTTTGATCCTGTTTTCTCTTTTCTTCTACTGCTTTTATAGTATTTATTAGTTAACTTTTCATACTAGGATTCTGTCATACAAACTGAGAACCATTAGGGTAACCATCCTCCCAGTCCCCGATTCTCAAGGAATATCTTGAGAATTAAATTCTTTTGCATACAAAACATGCGTGGCGACCAGCATCTCTGAAGTGACACGTTCCAAAGGGGAATTAATGCTTCTTTTTGCAGGTATCCAGCAGTGTGGCAGAACATCTGGCCCACTCACTTCAGGACTGCTCCAACATCCAAGAGATTTTCCAAACACTCTACTCACACGGATCTGCCATCTCAGAAAGCAAGATTAGAGAGTTTGAGGTGGAAACAGAACGGCTAAATAGGTGAGGAGAGATCCTATCGATTTGATCCTGGGGCAGGGAGGAGCTGCTGCTCCTCACTTCTCTTTCCAAAGATCTGTTCAAGGTGGCTTACGTATTGTGACAGAGCAATACTGTCAGGCTGGTGGGTTTGGAAGTTCCCACCACCTTGGTCTTCAGAGGAGTGCTCCCAACAGTCTGAGCTGCCATCATGGCTGTGACCTGGGCATTCACATGGGCCTTGTGCTTAGAAAGGTACCATGCTTGCTTCACTGCCTTAATACTGTTAAACAAGGGACTCCGCTTTTTTAGTTTCACACTGGACCTTGCACATTACATAGTGAGTCCTGGGAGCAGCCCCTACAGAATGGCAGTAGGTCACAGGTGACTGCCAAGCATGCAGGCCTGTGCTGCAGAGAACCACAGAAGGAAGTTCTGGAATGTTGAGTCAGCATCTCAGGGGCACTTGGAGCTACTGGAACCAGCAAAGGCAATCTGGTAGGGCCGTTCCTGACATGGACCAGGCATGCTGGTCTATCTGTCCTTGCTCTTCCTGATGGTTGCCTAATTTTATTTATGCTTTTTGCAAATGTGCTCAGTCTTGGGTCCCTACATCCTATCCTAACTGCCCTACCTAGAGTAATTTTACTGTATATCCCGTTATATGGATTCTTTTCAAGTCTTTCAAAAGAGGTGGTTTCAGTTTGCCCTTTTTCCTGTTGGCAAAGACTCTCTTATGTGTCATGCCAGTGATGAGGGAGTTGCTAACAAAGCAAAGGAGAAGGACCAGGGCCAAACCATGGAAACCACTTGGCCTCAGAATTGGTTCTGCAGTGGCAGAATGGACTGTTGAGTCGCATCTGAATGTGGTGTGGCTGCCTTGACCTACCAATCTTTAGTGGAAGAGCACTGTAAGAATTTGAAAGGCTTATGAGCTAACCAGGAAGAAATAGGGATCCCCTTCCCCATCCACCATTGCTTAATTCCATTCCTCTTGTGTATGGCAAACCAGAATAAATTGAATTATCATGTTAGTCCTCCCTGATTTGAAACTGTTTAATATAGTTCTTGAGAACTAAGGTAATTGACAATCTAGGTCATTTTAAATCTTGAAATTAAATGGTTTCCTTATTAAATCCAGAATACTTAAGAGTGATAATCCTGATGATTACTTAGTGGCAGTAAAGAAGCCGTCTTTTCACTATCACTGGCCTGGGAGTGCTTAAAAATTGAATCAGATATGCCCTTTGCAATTTAATGAAGTTAGATGCCTTCAGGGGGACCTCGATTTAGTGAGGATCTCCTCTCTACAGATTCTGGGATTTAACAAGTTGGATTTGTGGCTGAACTTGAATAGGGGAGTTGCTTTCTACTCAGTTATATACACCCAGGAGAGACCAAAGAAGGGAGAAATATTTTGCTGGTAGCTCATGTTATTGTGGTGTTTAACAGCTTACAAAGGGCTCTCACAGACAGCCACTTAATCCTCAACCTGTGAGGGTAGAGTAGTCCTGTTTTGCAAATGAGAAAACAAAGACTTTGAAGTCCCAAGTTGAGTGACTTGTCTTAAATCCAGAGCTATTAAGTAGCTGAGATGGAATTCCAACCCTTACCCATTGACCTCACCTCCATTGTCATCTCTGTGATCCTAGCTGCTGCGGGAACCTGGGGCTTCTTAGAAATAAGCTACCAGTATATCCTGATGTCTGCTATTTTAACTACCTACCTCAAAGTTGGAGGCCTATTACTCTCAAAGTATGTTAGCCTTTAGCTTCATGATTGGCAGGGGAGGGGTGACATCCATACCCACCAAAATGTTTTCCTTCTCTAACAAATCTGTGTTAAACATCTACTATATGCTAGGCTACGTGGCACGCAAAGCAAAGTAAAACAGATAATAGGGTCCCTGCTCTCATGGAGCTTACATTCTGTTAGGGAAAATAGACCAAGGAGAAAACAAATAAGATGATAAGAAAGATCCAAGAAGGAAATAAATAGGACACCAGCAGAAGCTGAGGGAGGGTTGATTTTTCGATGGGTAGTCAGGGAAGGTGTCTGAAGAGGGGAGGCTTACATTGAGATGGATTACAAAAAAAAAAAAAGCAACCATATGGCAAAGTGATATTCTTATGGCCACTTAACAACCATGAGGCCTGAAAGAGGAACTGTCCAAAGGCCAATGGAAATGAAATGGAGTAAGGGGAAGAAGCTACACGAGATGAGGTGGCAGAGCAGGGGCTGGCTCAGATGTGGATTTTGATGCCATGGACACATTTTACTCTTTAAGTATAATTGGAAGTCATTAAAGGGTTTTTGAATGTGGAAGAACAAGATCTGATTGACACTATGGAAGCTCACCCGGGTGTGGAAAATGGGAAGGGTGAGATAAGAGTGGAAGCAGCATGATCTTTGCAGTGCATGAGGGTAGCTGTGGTGGGATGGGGCCAGGAGCTTCACGTACGACATGTGCGGTGCTGAAAGCAGTGGAAACTGCAGCTGGGTTCCACTTGGATGAGAAAAAGGGATGGTCTCAAAAAAGATTCTCAGGGGTCTAGTGCAGGAGCGTCCAATCTTTTGGCTTCCTGGACCACACTGGAAGAAGAGGAATGTCTCGGGCCGAACATAAAATCCACTAACAGTAATGATAGCTGATGAACTAAAAAAAAAAATTGCAAAAATATCTCGTGATGTTTTAAGAAAGTTTACAAATTTGTGTTGGCCGCATGCAGCCTACAGGTTGGACAAGCTTGGTCTGGCGTGTAGTGTTAGGTAGATGGTGTTGGCATTTACTGAGATGGAGAAGATAAGGGAGGATGAAGTGCAGGGAAAATCAAGAATCCCACTTTGGAATGTTACATTGGAGGTAGCAATGTGACAGCAAAGGGAAATGTCAGGAAGGCAGCTGGATATGTGAACCTGGCCCTCAGAGGCAAGCTCTGGGCTAGAGAAAGTTGGGAGCCAGTGGATCTTACCTGCCTAATAAAGTCATGGGACTGGAAAGAAATCGCCCCTAGGGTGGGAGTGTCGATAGCAGAGGGGACCCCGGGACAGCCCCAAGAGAATGCCAAGCTTTCCCAGTTTTATAGAGAATGAGCATCTAGCAAAGGCGACTGAGAGGAAGTAGCTGCTAGGGCAGGAAGAAAACCAGCAGAGACCCACCCTAGCTTAAGTGAGGGGAGCTCTTTAAGAAGGGAAGAGTAACAGATCAGTGAGGTGTTGCCTGAGAAGGGCCCTGAGATGGGCTTGGCCACATGGAGGTCTATGAGTTGGGTAAAGGCTTTATCTAATTAGCAGGGACGGACTATAGACTGGAGCAAGTTGAAAAGTAAATGGCCGGCGCGGTGGCTCAAGCCTGTAATCCCAGCACTTTGGGAGGCCGAGACGGGCGGATCATGAGGTCAGGAGATCGAGACCATCCTGGCTAACACGGTGAAACCCCATCTCTACTAAAAAAATACAAAAAACTAGCCGGGCGAGGTGGCGGGCGCCTGTAGTCCCAGCTACTCGGGAGGCTCAGGCAGGAGAATGGCGTGGACCCAGGAGGTGGAGCTTGCAGTGAGCTGAGATCCGGCCACTGCACTCCAGCCTGGGCGACAGAGCAAGACTCCGTCTCAAAAAAAAAAAGAAAAGTAAATGAGAGAATAGGGACTCTTTTCAAGAAGTCTTAACATGAACAGGGGCAGAAAAGCATTCTTATAGCACCTTACCTTGAAATGACCTCGGAGTGGCCAGAGCCTGGCAGTGATCTTAGTTCTTCTACACTCACCAAGTATCTTCCATGTTGGCAAATGTCTCCATATTCTGCCCTAAGGCGTGAGTCTAAGATTTTTCCTTGAAGCTGATGGCTTCCAAACCCCTTAACATTTCAAGTCACTTGCAGTTTGTGTGTGTGAAGCTCTTTCTCTTTAAGACTTAGTGGTCAGAGTACTACAAATAGATGTGTCCCATGGAAAATGAATTGTGGCATCAAGAGCATCTGTGCCCTGAGATGGAAAATGGAGAAGCTGAAGGATTATATTATTCATTTGTTTGCTGACTTTGCCACAAACTCATTTGCCCTGAGTCTACAGTTCTGAATCCTGTAAAACTTCAAGTTCCCAATGCTTATCCTAGCACTAGTTAGAGCTGCTAGACTGTGTAACCCGAAAGGAGCTTTGGGTACAGTCCACAGCTCCTGGTCCATTTCCCACTTAAAGGCCGCCGGGGCGGTTCCTATTCACTCACTGATTCATCCTTTGGTTCTCTTTGTAGTTTGTGATTATGAGGACGGGATCTGGTTCAAATCCCAGGGCAAGATACTTAATGTTTCTGGGCCTCCATCTCCTCATCTGAAATGGGAATAACAATACTTAATTGAAAGGGCTGCTGGGAGAATCACTAAAGCAAAGGCTTAACAGATAGCCATGACTGCTGTGATGCTGCTTTTCATCCCTGCATGTGGAGGGTGACTTATCTAAGCCCACCAGGCGTTCCACATGATAGGGACCTGGAGGTTGCACAGCTGTCTTCTTTCCTTGGAATATCTCCAGAGCCTAGCACTGTGCCCTGCTCATGCTAGACCTGGAGTGAGCGTGGCAATGGCTGGGGGTCTTATTTTTAACCAGGGGGCTTATTTTTTATTTGTAATTCACACAGAGTTTAGTGATACTTTTATGTAGAGTTGCTTCTTTGACAAAATACTGTGTCAGCTGCTAATCTGACAAGCCCACATCCTAGCATGCTTTTCTGGCCTGAACATAAATGAGACAACTGAAATATTGGCAAATTAATTGTAACCCTTGATTTTTGTTCCTTTGTAGCCGGATTGAGCACCTCAAATCCCAAAATGATTTCCTGACTATAACCCTGGAGGAATGTAAAAGCAATGCCGAGAGGATGAGCATGCTGGTGGGAAAATACGAATCCAACGCCACAGCGCTGAGGCTGGCCTTACAGTACAGGTAGGAAAACAGCGCAAGGCACACACTGGGATGTTTGGAGCTACTTCAGGGTAGAAATGCATCCAGAGTAACCTGCAGAATAAAAGCAGGAGATAGGCTTCTAGAAGGCATATCTGGCGATTTGGACCAGCAGATAGCTAAGGGTAATGAATATGCTGTTAGTAAACAGGTATATTTCTCCTAGCATATTCATCTTAAATATTTCATGTAGGTACTATCACTCAAAATATCGATTTTTTGGTGTGTTACATGTTCATTTGTTCTTGCAGATTTTTATTCATATTCATATGTAATTTACATTGCTATAAATCTAGTGCATTCTATTTCTTTGTCATAGTTGTAAAATGTTGCTTTTAATAGCCTCTCTTTATTCTGAACGGCTGTAACCCCTCCATCAAGTTTTTATATTGTTAATTTACTCACTTTTCTAAAGGACATTTAGACTTTTAATATTAAAAATAATTCTATGATGAATAATTTAATGCAGATAAGATCTTCATTCTTTTGAATATTTTCCTCTGGATAAAATCCGGCAGCAGGAACTGTAGGTCAAAGGATATGAATATTTTCCTTGCTCTTCAGGCATGCTACTGATTTTTTGTCGTGAGAACAAGCCAGTTTAAATAACTACAATTCACTCATTGGTGAGCAAGTTGTAATTTGAATGGACCGCTTTTTTTTTTTTCTGCCTCATCACTTTGAAATTTATCTGTTTTTAAATTACCGCTTGTTTAAAGCTGCAAAACTATCCCTTATTATTATCATCATAGGTTTCTTTTATTAGCATTACCACTTAAGCGTATTTGCCAAGGCCTCAGAGTAGTTGACTGTATCGTACACTTAGCATCCTCTAAAAAGTTTGGTATTGTTTTAAGAAACATTCTTGTTTATTCAAGAAATAATCAAAGCAAAATAAATGGGACCAAAGCTACAAAGCAATCATTCTGGTTTACAGACAGCAAAGCAAGCAGATAACTCATCTGTGATAACCCTTGAAGCTGGCTGCTATCCGCCCACAATCTGCCTTTGAGCAGAAAGGTCTTTCTCCACATTAGTACCTGGATAATAAAGTGTCTGGAATATGAACTGCCTTTGAAACTAGGAACTGGAAGCACCTAGGTCTAGCATTTCAGCTGTTTGTCTTAACTGTTAGTAAAGGACAGTGAAAATAAAGGCAATCAAAACAAATTGTTGACTAAATGAGGCAACACATCCCCTGTTCAGCTTGAAGAAGCTAGATGGTTACTTTCTTAAAGAGGAAATGTTCCTACTGCAGGCATATTATCTGGGCCCCTGAGGATGCTGTGCACATGTTCCACCTCTTGTGTGGACGTGGGCCACGTGGGTCTCAGGCTACAGGAAAGGAACTGTTCTTTGATATTTTACCTTGTTTGCCCAATGAATGATGGGCACAGAGAAGAGTGACTATGTTTCCTCCTCCTAGAAATCCAAACTCAAACTCTTGTCACAGATTTTGTGAAGGCCTAAGAATGTTTCATGAGACATTTTAAGCACTTCTAGTTTTATGAGAATCCATTAGAACTTTTCTGTGATGATGGAACTGTTCTCTACATGCACTGCCCAATATGGTAACCACTAGCCATGTATGGCTACTGAACATATGAAGTATGGCTACTGCAATGGAGGAATGGACTTTTTCATTTTATTTAACTCAAAATGTTTTCAATTTAAGTAGCTATTTGTGGCTAGTAGATACTTTATTGAATAGTGCAGGTCTAGGTCAAAACCATCTCCTTGTGGGATGTTATATTAGTTACCTGTTGTTGTATGACTAATCACTTACTGCATCACAATTTCAAGGATCAGGAACCTGGGGTGGCTTAGTAGGTGGTTTTGGCTTAGGGTCTCTTGTGAGATTCTGGTCAAGCTGTCAGCCAGGCCTGTACCATCTGAGACCTCAGCGGGAGCTTGGAGGATCTGCTCTAAGAAAGCTCTCTCACATGGCTGTTGGCTGGAGGCCTTTGTCATTCCTCCCCATGTGAACCTCTCCATAGGACTGACTGAGATTCTTCAAGACACGACAGCTGGCCTGCTCCAGGGAGGATGGTCTGAGAGAGAGTGAAGTGAGAGAGAATGACCAAGATGGAAGTCAGGGATTTTTAGTAAGCTATTTTGGAAGTGACCTACTGTCGCTTTGGTCACACAGACCAACCCTGGTACAGTGCGAATGGGGGACAGCACAAGGGTGTGGACACCAGGGTGCGGGCTCAGCGGGACTGCCTGGAGCGGCCTACCACAAGGGAATCATGTGGTCCTTTCAGCTGGTCACTGAAGGGATGACACACTTGCCTCTCCCACCTTTATTGTTTCTGTTGTATTTTTCCAGAACCAAGTTAAAAGTTTAAAAATAAAAAGGCCAAATGAAAGAGCAAGTCACTGGCCTTGACCTGGGAATATTCATGGGTGGTTTCCTTGCCTGTGTGGAGAGTGAGGCCAAGACAGCACCTGAGCTGCCTCCTGCGCAGGAACCTGCGCCACATTGAAGGTGTCCGCTGTTCCCTGCCAGGGCTGAGGCCGCGTGTGCTTTGTTTCAGCGAGCAGTGCATCGAAGCCTATGAACTCCTCCTGGCGCTGGCGGAGAGTGAGCAGAGCCTCATCCTGGGGCAGTTCCGAGCGGCCGGCGTGGGGTCCTCCCCTGGTAAGTGTCTCCGGAGTCCCTCTTCCTCCTGTTGTCTCCCTGCCTCCTTTGCTCCTGCCCCTGTCTCGGCGGCTGGCATTGAATCATCTCCTGACAACACAAAATTTGGTTGTCAAGTGTGTTTTTCGTTTTTCCTCATGACTGAGTGGGTAAATTGTTTATGTTGAATACAGCAAGAACTGGAGTGGAAACAGAATAGCAGACAAGTTAAAACAAACAAGCCTTCTTAGGAGCTGCATTCTCCTGGGCTGACAGTGGGGCCAGATGGAGCTGGGGCCGCATCAGCGATGAAAGGGGCTGGCGTGTCCACAGCTGCCTCTCTGATGCCTGTTGTCAAGGCGCATGCTGCTGCCACATGGCCTTCACCTCGTCTCGTTTCATTGGCTGAGCTTCTCCAAATTTATCTCTTTGAGTAGTAGTTGTTTTTCCGTTTGTTGGTTTTGAGGTGGAGTTTTGCTCTTGTTGTCCAGGCTGGAGTACAGTGGTGCAATCTTGGCTCACTGCAACCTTCACCTCCTGGGTTCAAGCATCCTCCTGCCTCAGCCTCCCGAGTAGCCGGGATTACAGACATATGCCACCACGCCCAGCTAATTTTGTATTTTTAGTAGAGACAGAGTTTCACCATGATGGTCAACCTGGTCTCGAACTCCTGACCTCAGGTGATCCACCTGCCTCAGCCTCCCAAAGTGCTGGGATTACAGGCATAAGCCACTGCGCCCAGCTTTTGAGTAGTTTTGAAACATGGGTTTCCCCTGCCAGGTCTCCAGGTGTCTTACAAATAAAGAAGAAGTAGTTTCACCCCCTGCTCGTGTCAGCATCACAGAATGTTCACCCACCTCGCTTTCCTGTGCCCGTCCTTCCCCCAGCCCCGGGGATCCTGTGCCCTGTTGGCCTGACCTGTACCTTGAGATCTGCACTGCCCGCTCACTTCTATCCCTCAATTTTGAGTAAGGTGGAAGGAGTATCTAACTGGGACAGACACAAGGGTGTCATTCTAGGAAGCAGCAGCATTTGCTAAAATGTGGCCAGTGATTGTGGCTCTGAGCCTGCAGTGATGTGAGGACTGTGGCAGAAACAGTGCTAAGAAGAAAGAGAGACCCAAGAAGAAAGGTGGCCATCTCTCCATGCAGAGCTAAGCCCCAGACACCCCCTTAGCCTTCGGAGAGGCAATAGCAACTAAACAGAAAGCCAAGGTGGCCAGGTCACTCCAGAGCCAAAGATGGGTGGTGTGGGCAGGCCAGGCATTCCCATGTGTGTGGCCAGGCCTCTGTCATGGACCGGCTTTCCGCTGTGAGCTTCCATTAGGACTTGTCCATCCAGGATACACCCTGCAAGGAGGTCACCATCCAGGCACCTTCTGAATGCACCCTCCTGTCCTTCTTCCCCACTCCACCCCTCTTGCCTGGGGGCTCACTTTTGCAATGCACACTCACACGTGTTTCCTCCTTCAGTTTCGATTTGCACAGGAATCTGAAGCAAAACTGAAGGAAGGAAAGTATCCTGGGTATTAATTTCCTGCTTCATATCCAAGTGATCCAACAAAGGAGCACGCCTTCATTTGTATGGAGAGCCATGCTCCGCTCCTCCCTCTGGTTTTTTTTTAATAGTATTACCAGCCCAGCCCAGAAGTAGAAACTCTGCCAGCATTTCCATTAGAAACCTCATTTTTCAGGTCTTTTAACTGAACCATAAAACTTTACTCCTCATATGAAACAGATCCTAAACTGATCTTGGCCTGCTGTCAGGTTTTTTTAAAATTAATATACGTATTAAGAAAAACGATAAATTAAAGGAAAAAAGTCAATCTTTATATTTCCAGTTGGTATCAGAGGAGTGTCTTAAACCTGTTCAGGCCTCACAAGGTACCTTTCATTAGGCATGTACCTACTCAGTGCAGTTATTTGGTATAGGAGCTGAAAGAGCTTAACTAAATCTGCCTTTTAAATATTCAAAATCAATAATGAAATGCTTTGTATTTACCTAATACTGGGAAGCTCATGTATACATTTATAAGACGAGCCAGTCAGCAATGTCATGCCTGCTTCCAAAGAGCGGTCAGTGGTGAGATATATGTAAAATGTCTTATTCATGGAGAGAAGTGAGACGTGAAGCTTGTCAGAGAAATGACAGGAGGGAGTTCCAGGGATTTTTGGCCTGCGGAATGGGTCCACCCCATTTCCTGCCCATTCTCTGTAGTGCTGAGGGCGGGCTTGATTTTAAGCAGTTCCCCGTTCAGCCTCGCCCTTGCATTCTGCTGACGGCAGCAGCTGGCCCGTCATACGGCCCCATCATGCCATAGAGCTGCCACACAGCAAAGCGAGAACTCGTTTGTGACGTGCACCCACAGGATCTGTGATTGTGGGTGTTTTCTTTGTTTCTTGTTGATGTCACAGGCATTCATTTTGTTCATTCTTTCATTCACAGATGCTTTAGGCCAGTGGTTTTCAAACTGTGCCCTGGGAAGCTGGAGGAGTTTCTCTGGGCCTCGGCAGTGGGGTTGGAGGGTGGGACTCTGAGCGTCTCCCACTTCTGCCCACTTCATCCAATTCCACGTTTATCTTGTTTGTATGTTAGAATAGCATTTTGTATGGTTTGGCGTAAGATTTCCTTTTAAAATATTTGGAAGAGCGTGGATCTGTGCTGTACAGGTAGCAAACTAGTGATTTGTTCAGCCAGCAGTTTCTGTTTTGTTTTGTTTTTTTTAAGACTTTGTTTCTTAGAGCAGTTTTAGGTTCACAGCAAAACTGAGAGGAAGATACAGAGATTTCTCATATGCCTCCAACCCTCAACATGCACGGCCTCCCCCATTTTCAGCATCCCCCATCAGGGTAGTATATTAGTTACAAGTGATGAACCTACAGTCACACATCATCATCACCGAGAGCCCATAGTGTACATCAGGGCTCACTCTTGGTCCTGTACATTCTTGGGTTTGGGCCAATGTATAATAACTTGAGTCCGCCATTATAGTATCATATAGAGTAGTTTCACCGCCCCAAACGTTCTCTGGCTCCACCTATTCATTCCTCCCCCACCCCCATCCCCTGGCAACCATTGTTGTTGCTGTTGTTCTTGTCATTTTGGAGACAGGGTCTTGCTCTGTTACCGAGGCTGTATTTGAACTCCTAGGTTCGAGCAGTCCTCCCACCTCAGCTCAGGCACCCATGATCTTTTCACTATCTCTATAGTTTTGTCTTTTCCAGCACAGTTTTAAAACACGATAGCAATGTGAACATTTTGGGCAGGGACTTCACTGCCTGATCTGTGCGAGTGCCCACCACACCCTGATGTTCTGCACTAGCCCAGTTACCTGGCTCCTGGAGGCATTTGAATTCACCACGATTACCAAGCCAAGAGAAGGGTCAGGGGTGGCATTGGTACATATAATACAGAGCCGATCTAAAGCTCTCATCTGAACCATTACTTTTGTCTCTCTTGCCCCCACACAGGGCTCTAATCAAAGCTGTAGACATGTGGAAAGATGGCACAGTTTTGCCCCAGTTTCTCCCTCCCTCCTTCACAGGGAAGTGCCAGTGCACAGAGGAATGGCCAAATGGTAGACTTGAGGCTGAATGGGAGGAGAAGCCAGGAGCCTGGATCATTAGAAAAATCGGAGCATGTTAGAGCTGGAAACAGAAATGTGGTGATCCCATTGGCCAACTCCTACATTTGTCCTTGAGGCCAGGGGAGCCCAGAGAAAGAGCAGAGAAATAACCTTCCCATGTGCAGCTTCTAAGTGACAGTGCCAGGCCCAGAACACAGATCTTCTCTTCGGCTGGGCACTGCTGATACCCCTCCACAGCGCCACCTCTGCGCTAAGTAACTGAGAGTTAATTATGCACAGTCACTCCCAGGCGTGCCTTGTCCAGGCCTATGTTGATTAATCCATTGGCTTCTCTGCCACATAGGAGACCAGTCGGGGGATGAAAACATCACTCAGATGCTCAAGCGAGCTCATGACTGCCGGAAGACAGCTGAGAACGCTGCCAAGGCCCTGCTTATGAAGCTGGACGGCAGCTGTGGAGGAGCCTTTGCCGTGGCCGGCTGCAGCGTGCAGCCCTGGGAGAGCCTCTCCTCCAACAGCCACACCAGGTAATGCTCAGCCTTCTGCCCCGGGGCGGGCGTGTGTCCACCTGGCATCTGTTCACTGGACTTGGTGTACAGTGACCCAGCTCTTGGGGACTGTGTGGCTTGGGAAAAGGCAGACATAGATTCTGGCTTGCAGCATGCTCCATTCTAAAAGGAGTCAGAAGATCAGAACAGATGAGCTAGAAAGTGGCCCTCTCGCTTTGCCAATGTGGAACCTGCAGTCAAGAGAGGAGAGATTTGCTGTGGAAAGTGGTAGAGATGGAATGCAAACCTACCTTTCTGTCGGATCCATTTTCTCCTACATTGTTCTGTTCTTCATTTCTTTGTAAGTCTTCATTTCCAGGAAGCACTTAGGGTAGCCGAGACCCGTTTGCTGCAAATGGTCCCTGTGGTCCCAAGGCCCAGCCCAGCCCATTCTAGTTCCAGACATCTCTCTCCCGTCCTCTTGTGCCTCCATCCTCTATAAGCTCTTCTCAGGCAAGAGCCTCTCCTCCCATCTCTTTTGCCTCATGGAATGATGCCGCATTCACAGCATGTGCTTACAGACACTCAGTCATGAACCTGAGGTCAAGTTCACTGTCTGTGAATCTAGGAAATTAAAGTGGGTGCTTGAAAAAGATGAGGAAGAGAGCAGCGAAGACCTTGCTGAGCATAATTTGCTGACGTCATTTGATTCTTTTGGATGGGAGTGGAGAGTCAGAATGAAACCCTTTCTACTTCCCTTCTCATTTCTTGCCACCAAAGCCCTAAAAACTTGAATGCCTTCCCTTTATTTACCAGTCCTCAGTCTAGAAGACACTTTGTTAGAGATTCTTACATAATTGCCAAATAGTGAAAGACTTGGAAGGGTAACTTGCCCCGTTTTCACAGGTGAGGAACCCTTGGCTCAGAGATATGTCAGTGACCTGCTCGGTGATAAGAGGGAAACCTGGACAGGAACCCGGGATTTCAGCACCGAGCATATTGCCCTTCCCACATTGGATCTCATGATATAACAAAACAGTGTCTACTTGCAGTCAAAGCGACCAGAACTGCATAAAGATACATTGACTATTGAGAGCCAGAGGAGAAATACTGATGCTTTCTTGGTGCTGGAAAGCAACTGAATGTTCCCTCTCTCTTTCCCCACCGTAGGACCCACCTTCTCCCTCAGTACGTCCATTTACCTGTACTGGCCCAGGTGTCCCAGGGGAGGGGACATGCCCAGGAATATGCTCAGCCAGGTGCCCACAAACAACCGGGACTTGAGTCTTCTTTACTTTAGCAACAATTGTCTCATTCAGTGAAGCACAGATTACAATTTTTTTCATAAAACCAGATCCTACTGTGTAAACACAGAAAGCAGATGCTCTTCTTAATGACTCTTCCAGATGTGTGTTATCTATAATTTGTGTGTTTATTTAGTACAGAAATGTAGTTCTCATGTTGTCAGTGATGCCGTATTGTTTCATTAGTGAACACAGGAATTTGCTTGATAGGAAATGTGTGCTGTTTCAGTAGCTTATGAGGTTTGTGCCACAGATCATTTGTTCAAACCTCCCTACCCCCAAAAAGAATTTTGGGGTTTTATTCTAAATCAGAGACGAATTTAGAATCACTCAGGAGTGAGAACAGTTTTATCACCATCTATTTAGCTTTTGAATATTTGTTAGAAGTACTTGAACTTACAGGTTAGCCTTGATTTTGAGACTGTTTTCTTAGAGAAATTTAATTTGGGATCCTATGTTTCTGCAGATTGAGATAAATTCAAAACACAGAGTCATTGTTTCCAAGGATAACCTCACCAAAGAATGGTTCTTAAATTAATTTCGGTCTCAAGTAGGTCTTCCCATCAAATACAGAGGGTTTTAGCTCCAATTTCACCCAGTTCTCCTTTAAAAATCACTTTTACCCTCCCGCCCAAATCAGAGCAGCTCTGAGTACAGAAGAACCACACATGGGGCATTCATTTGTCACTCTACATTCTTAGAACCTGATGCAATTAGACTGCTTTATGTTAAACGTGGGTTTAGAATAAAGTCCCAAAACCACCAGACTGCTTTCATAATTATGATAATTATAGTAATTTTGTTTGTAAATCTTGCCATTCTGGCTCAAACATTCCCCCATGTCAAGTTTATGAAAATAAAGAAAAGGATCTTTCTGAGTTGGAGCTTTATGTGGCCCAGCAAATCCCTTTCCCCCCACTGTAACCACCCAGCTTAAAGAGGTCTAATCAGAGTGTCCATCAGTTGCTCCTCAAGGGTTCAGGAAAGGAACGCTGAGTATTGCACCTCCAGTGGCATTTCTGGCAGCCCATAGGCAGCTCCTAACGACAGGAGGGTTAATGGTTATAGAGAGGAGCAGCAGAGGGGTAGTTAACCAGCAAGGAGAATAAAAGTGATAGCCAACCCTCAGTTGACTGTTGGCAGGAGCCCAGGATCAGTGCTATTTCATTTTGAAAAATACAGCCATGGCCTCATCAGAAAGTATAATGGTCTTATGGACAGAGTGACTAGGTTGATTGCCTGGATGGCTTTATCAACATATCATGACAAAGAGGCACAAGGACTAAAGCGTTGGGAAGTGGAAATAGAATCCTTGGACAAGCCCACCCTCTGCAGCAGGCCTCACGGTTCAGCTCCTTCTGTGCAGCGTAGTCATCGCTCTCAGTCCACAAAGGAACTGTCGCCCAGACAGGATCGGCCACAGCAAGTCTGCACTCTCAGAGACTGAAATTGAGTCCCTTGTCTCGGCACCAGACGGGGATCGGGGAGAGCTGTGAGAATGGTGGTTGCAGCCTTGCCGTGAGCCTCTGGGTGCTTCCTGGCAGCCAGGGTGCTGCCTGTGTGGCCACTCACTCTGGGATATAATCCCCAAATTGGACTGGGTGGCAGCAGAGCTCAAGAGGTGCCCAGCTCTCACTCTTTGAACTAGTCTGGATTAAGATAAAGTTTCATTGGGGCAGAAAAAATGGTTGAGGAGAGTGAAATAATGTCCATTGAAAGGGTGAATGTTTTGAAACAGCCACCTAGTTAGAACAGGCATCAGTAAGCTTCAGGAATGAGAGTCAGACTAGATCTGGCTGAAACAGTCATCTTTACTGAAGAGAGGTGCTTTTCCATCCATGTATCAGGAGAGTCTATCCAAAGTCCTTGGGACAAATGCTTAATGGTGTTAGTGAGCTCTAGAGACTCAGCCCAGACACATCCTTGACATGACAGCATTATGATCAGTCCTCCTCAAATGTCCTCATCACTTACCTTTTAGGTTCTATGAGAACAAGATATAGACATGAAATGCTTTTTATGGTTTTTTTCTAGTGAGTTCTAACTTCTTGATTTCAAAAGAACTGTATGCTTGTTGTAAAACTAAGCAATTAAAATCCTAGCATTGCAAAATGCATGGGATAGTAAAGTTCTCCATTCTGGGACTCTCACTGGAAAGGACATTGGGAACAGTTTGGGGTATATTCCCACAGATTTAACTGCATTTTTTATTAGTTAGGATGCATGGTTGCAAAGAACAGAAATGTGCTCAAATAGCTTAAATGGAAAGGGGTCTTATTGGAAGGATATCAGATCTCACACCCACGAGCTGCATACCCGGGCAGAGGGCTGCCTAAGACAAAGCAGCAGCAGAACTAGGCTTCGGGTCTGGCTGTGTGGCCCTTGCATGCAGCCTATGTTCTCTTTCCTGTTCTTGGGGGCAGCCTTCCCCAGGTGACAGACAACCAGCTCACCACCTGTATTTGTACACAAAGCTGGCTGGTTTCCCTGATGTCAAGTAAGAAAATCCTGGGAAAGGGACATCTTGCCCAGCTGGGCTCTGATGGCTATCCTGATCCTCTGTGGCCATAGCAGCACGAGGCCAAGGCAGTTTCCACAGGAGCTTGGGGATGGAGAAGAAAAGGGATAGGTCTCCGCAGAAGAGTTTGGAAGGCAGGTACTTAGTGTACCAAAACACGACATCTTTCAAAACATGACTACATCTCTTTTTCTTTTCTTTTCTTTTTCTTTTTTGAGATGGAGCCTCGCTCTGTCGCCCAGGCCGGAGTGCAGTGGCGTGATCTCGGCTCACCGCAACCTTCGTCTCCCAGGTTTAAGCGATTCTCCTGCCTCAGTCTCCCGAGTAGCTGGGATTACAGGCACCCACCGCCACACCCGGTTAATTTTTGTATTTTTTTTATACGACAGTGAAAGATTGTATTTATTATTTTATTAAAAATAAAAAAGACTGTATTTTTTAGCACAACAGTAAAAGATACAGGCAAGCTGCCAAGGCTTGAGCTTCTGCTTAAAGAAATGGAGCCACTTAGGAATGACTTAAATGCCAAATGTCACCTGGACTGACCCCCCTTGTTCAGATAAATTTCAAATGCTCAGCAAAACAGATGCCCACCCCCAGGGCACTTTCCTTCTAAAAATGAGCTGCTGGGCTGGGCACTTTGGGAGGCCGAGGCGGACGCATCATGAGGTCAGGAGTTTGAGACCACCCTGGCCAACGTAGTGAAACCCTGTCTCTACTAAGAATACAAAAATTAGCCAGGCATGGTTGTGCGTGCCTGTAGTCCCAGCTACTCAGGAGGCTGAGGCAGAAGAATTGCTTGAACCCAGGAGGCGGAGGTTGTGGTGAGCTAAGATCATGCTATTGCCTTCCAGCTGGGGCAACAGAGTGAGACTCCGTCTCAAAAAAAAAGACAAGCTGCTCCTTGATGGAAATCAGATCTCAGCTGGGGCCAAGTAAGATGTTGATGAAAACTTCAAGAAAATGCCATCATGGATTTTTAAGGCGAAATAAACGAAATGTCCTTCTAGCCTTCTGCCAAGGCAAGCTGAGGAGGCTATGAAAAATGAATTTTTCTTCTAATGAGCAGGCTGGGGAGCTGTCTTGAGGACAGAGCTGGGGCATGGTGGAGAGGGACAGAAGAGAGGATGTTCGACATCAGTAGCTGGTTTGAACAGCATCTCCCATAGTCGACAGCGTAGGTGGAGAGTGGGTCAGCCTGAACCGTCCCAGACCAG